AGTTTCCTTCATCTTAAATAATATAACTAAATAAAATCTAGAAGGAATCCTCGAATTTAACATGATCATATCAATGATGGATTTACTTCTGGGTTAAAGCCCCCCAACAAGAAAAAATATAAATTTTTTTATTGCTCCGAATTTGTTTATGTGAGTGATATAATCTAGATACTTAATCAAACACAATATATTTTATTTTTAAAATATAATGCATATTCAGCTACTAAATATTAATTTATATGGAAAGACAAATTTACGTGTCAAAAAATATATTAAGACAATTATCGCAATAATAAACAATAAGGAATTATTGTTCCTGTGATAACTGTTTTTTACCTTCTAGATATATAAATACAATCATTTAAGAAAACTGTAATAACTTTTAAATTATAAAAAAAAAAAAAGAAGAAAAACAGCGCTCCCTAAAATTTAATCCTTGATAAAAACTTGGCAGGTGCCTTCTTTCTTAGTTTACATATATATATGTATATATATAAAATGAAGAGATACATTTAAATAAAAAGGAAAAGCACTAAAACGCAGCGATGAATACTATTTACTACAATAATTAATGCACTATTATTAATTATTGGTCATGACAATATTTTGTCGACGGGTAGACTAAGTAATAGATAGTTCTATGGACGAGCCAATAGCTTTAGAGTTTCTTGGCCTAAAAATTGAATGGATTTAATTCCAAGGGATTTCGTTCCATTGCTCTGGGATCCGATAGATGAAAAAAAAATTGTACTCTCATTTAGCTCAAATTCAAATGTTTTTTGTTATTTACGGACAAAGCTATATTTTCGAGCAATGAAATTTTATATCTTTTTTTTATTAAATTGAATTATGTTAAAGCCCTAAAGTTGAGCACGAAGTCATTGGTTTCCCCTCCAATTTATAATATAACTCGTGCCCTATAAAATCAACTTAATTCACTATTTCTTGTTTATTGTTATTTTTATAATTATACCTTATATAAACAATTTTAAAAATTATATTATAAAATAATTTCCTATATTTTACTTTTTCTCTAACAATCATAATTTATTTATTCTAATGATTTTATAAATATATAATTTTTGTGGTATTTATTTTTATTATGATTTCATATTTTAATTTTATATATGAATATTATAAGCTTTATATGTATTAATATCATGATTAAACTCACGCGTTAAGATCGCGAATTGTAACGCCATGGCTTGACTCGACTCCAGCTCGCATCTCCAGCGGACTGAGCTCTGCCGAAGGCAGAGCCACCTATCGGCCCAATCTTAATACATTCTCTTCCATGCTTTTTAAACATTATCAAAAAAAATATTTTAAAACATTTAATGAACACACTTTCCGATAGTTTTTCAACGATTCGGTTCTAATAAAATTACATGTGGTCGAGTTTAATCCAAAAGCATATTCCTTTCTTCTAGTTAAATTCTTGGCTTTAAAATAATACTAGGTTTCATCGGTGCCTACCGATTAAGTTCTTTAATAATAATATTCCACTAAACTATATAGGAAAAAATGATCCCATAAGTATTTTATTTTGACTGATGAATCTAAGACAAACTTCATTGAAGCCTAATTTAAATACATAATATTAACATAATATCAAATTTTTCGATGTTTCTCCTATGTTTGGTTTGTAAAGAAAGTGCATACATTTACTTATAAGCTCCTTCTTTCCATTATGGTTGGTATTGAGCTATGGACCCAACTAAAAAAAGTCTCTAGAATTTATATTATTTATAAAATAAATTATAATAAAAATTAATTTATCGATTAAATATAAGTTTTTATTTTAGTTGGCGTATGGTATATTTGAAAATATGTTAACAAAGTAATTCAATATATTACGTATTTTTATTTTTATTAAGAAGTTTGAGGTAGCGAAATAAAATCTTAATTCTCCGATGCTTCAAATTTACCACCGTAATGTAATAAAATCTTCAAGTAAAAATGAAAGGATGTACATGAATGAATCATAAAATCCTATCATATGTAATGTAATACATATAATTATCTTGGAACATAAACTTAACTTTCAATAATAGATACATAGGGCTTGGTAATACATAGGGCTTGGTAAAATACAATACATATAATATAATACATAGGGTAAAAATATAGGTACATAAATAAATAGGTACATAGGGTAAATAGGTATAAATAGGGTAAAAATAAAACATAAATAGGTACATAGGGTAAAAATATAATACATAGGGCTTGGTAAAATACAATACATATAATATAATACATAAGGTAAAAATATAGGTACATAAATAAATAGGTACATAGGGTAAAAATAAAACATAAATAGGTACATAGGGTAAAAATATAATACATAGGGCCTGTTAAATACAATACATATAATATAATACATAGGGTAAAAATATAGGTACATAAATAAATAGGTACATAGGGTAAATAGGCATAAATAGGGTAAAAATAAAACATAAATAGGTACATAGGGTAAAAATATAATACATAGGGCTTGGTAAAATACCTATTTCTACTTTTCTTAATTGATTCTAGTTTACATATTTTATTCATCTATGTATATAAATTGTTTTTGATTTTGATTTTTTTTGTTATTGGTGAAATGTTAGGAAGGGGGACGAAATAATATAGTCGTCCCCTCTATATTTTTATTAGGGGAGTGATCGCCCTTCTTCCCGCATATTTAAGATATTTTTAATCTTGTCTCTACTATACCATATTTGTTTTTTCAATTATTATTCAGTCGAGATAAAAGTTCGCTACGGCTGTATGAAAGTTTTTTAAATTTTTTAATGTCATCTAGGAATGTTTTTTAATTCTGTATTAACTATTTAAATACATTTTCTAAATGATATAATGGTGAGGATAATATTTTATTATGGTTTCATCATTGTTCGATACTTTGAAATAATTGGTTATCAAATTATTATTTATTTTTTATATTATGATCATTTTATATAAATATCTAAATTAAATGAGGTCTGTGAAAAAAAATATATAAGCGATCAACATAAGACTATAATAAGTTTTTAATGCGGTGACAACTTTTAGGTTGACGCAAGTGTTTGCCGTTGAAAGGCCTAATCCCACCCTTTCTTATCAATGTCAGTAACAATACCAGCTGTGACAAAGGATAATTATTTACACCTAAGAATGAATTACAAATTCATCTCCACGATACAAACCAGAATCAAAATCTATACTAAACAGACATGCTATTAACAAGTCGGCTTTTCAAAACATTTTTATCCTTTCAACAAACCATTTAAACGGAATATAGAATCCAAACAGTTTACAACAACATTTTTAGACTAAGTTTATATTTATCATTGGATTAATGTAACTGAAAAATTCCTTGACCAAAAGATCGGTATTTCATTAAAACGAAACATTAAATTAAAATTAAATAGTAAACAAACAAAGCCAATGCACATTGGACTCTATATAAAATCTAGCAGGACAAAAGTAAATGTAAATTATTCCTTTTTGATCAATATAATATTCATATGCCACATTACAAGCAATCTCAGAACGCTTTTTCGAGTAGTGAACTGAAGGAGCGAATGTATGATTTTTTTTACCAAACAAGAAAAATTGTATTATTTTTAATAAATAATCAGACGAAATTCTTCTTCTTCCATTGGCTCGACAGACCATTACTGATCTCTGACCTTTTGCAATAACTTCATCCATCTCATCCTCTGACATTCGCGCTACATGGCCAGACCACCTCAGTCTCCCAGCCTAATATGCTTCACAATGTCAGGTCCACCAAGGAGATTATATATTTCTTGATTAACCCTCCTGAGGTATGTTTGACCGACTCTTCTAGGTCCATAAATGCGCTGCAGAATTCTTCTTTCGAAAGCCAATAAACTTCATTCATCCATCCGTAATATTACCCATGACTCCGAGCCGTACGTCAGGATCGGCATAAACAACGTCTTATACAGCCGTGATTTTGTTTTCTTTGAGTCTTTCTACCCCAAAGTAACATGGGTTAGCAATGATTTTTCTTCTCTCAATTTCCTTTGTAATGTCATTTCCCGCAGTTATCTGGGATCCCAGGTAGACGAACTCATCCACTTTTTCAAACTCATAGAAGCCGAACTGCACATTATCTGCCAAGATACCAAACTCGGTGGTCATATACTTGGTTTTCACATCATTTACACGAAGTCCCAGTTGTCCAGCTGATGTCGTCAACAACAGACGAAATTATTAATTTTACTAAATTTCTGTGTCAGTGACTGGTTATATGAACAAACGTTTAACTGTCAAAGTGACAAGGCCTTCAAGTTTAATGCCCATCATGAATAAAAGAAAATATGTACTTCTATTTTCATTTGAACATCTTGGTAGATTGATAGGGAAAAACGGCATCTACTAATGTTTGAACTTGATGTAAAAGTCGTGTACCTTCCTCCCCGAACAAAACTCAGGACTTTCGGATATTTACTCGCGCGGATAGGCGGGACGAAATCTATTTGCCTGAAGCGGTAATGTGCCGTGAAAGGCATCTAACTATTACACCTAGTTAAAATATTTGTAGATGTAAATCTATTTTGCCCATCGCCCGTAACTCCCTCCTTTCCCCAATCAAAATTGAAAGTCTGCGCCAATGCCATGGCCGGCGGGACGTAGTGGAGGTCTTAATGCGGCTCCTGGGCCAAAAAGTATTGAAATTAAGCATTTTATTGATATTTTAGTTTAGCTGGTGCTTCATAAAATTAATTATATTTAATCATCGTATGTAAATTATTATAATAAACTGTAAGAACAATGTCTTTCTTTGATTAAAAAAACAACGATATAGTTTTAGTTTTTCTTTCTGTTTTTAGACGCCAAAGGAACTTTAATAAATTCAAAATTTTCGATTTAATTCAAAATATTTCGCAATAATACTCGTACTACTTGAGAAAACGGGCTTTAGTAACAATCAACAGATATTGTTCAATTAAAACAACTGTGTTCGATTTAATGCGAACCTCGTGATTGGAATGTATACCACAGTGCAATCGATGATTGATATTCTATGCGTGATAACATGTAATTATATCAGTTAATTAGTGATGTTACAATTGTCACAAGATGGCGTTCGCCTCAGGCGCCCTATTCTACGAGGCACTATGATATAATGGCAATATAATATACCATATTCTTAAATGAGTGCTATTTTTATTCGATTTTCACTTTGTGATTCATTCCTTTTAATCTTTCTTAGTAGCTTCAAACCAAATATTTTCATAATTCACAAATATAAATTGCACTGTTCTTCATCAATATCCTCCCTGTAACAGAAATGTTGTTTTTTATATTTTGAGTATAGTGAACACGAATCCAAAGTCAGAAAAACTTTATCAGGCACCATCTCATGTAGAATTTGTGTTGTAGGTCATGAAACCAAAACGATGTGTCGAAAGTTTGGGCATTAATTTATCAATAAAATCTTCAACGAAAAATTAAAAGATATTTGATTTTGAAGCTACTACAATAAAAAAATTCCGAGAGCTCAAGTGTTAGGCTTCAAGGATTTTTTTTGTCACATATTCGATGTTGCAAATGAAAAAATCTGGTGTGTCTACTCACACGACTACCTATTTCAAAAAAGTTTTTATATCTTTACATATGTTCATGAAGAAACAAAAAAGAATTGAACATTTATTTTCCTGAAAATTGATCAAACAAAAGATTTGAGTACAATTTATTAGATAAACTAAAGCAATGAAAACCGGCTTAAGGTAGATCAGTATAAAAATTTCAATACTCACTAATATTGCTGATCAAAAACTTGTTGCTATAGCTTAGTATTGTCAAACAATAATTTCTGTTAAAAGTAGAGGAAATAGTAAAGATTGTGTGATGCGGGCAACAGTAAACTCGTAATCTTTCATTGGAAATTGAATAGCTGTAACTTCATTAATAGTTGTCCAAAATGAACGATATTTATATGGCTTTTTAGGGAATTTCATTACCTTTCAGACAGGCAGACAGATAGACAGACCAATGGCTAAAAATGTGTTTTTCGGACTCAGGGTGCTGTGAAACGTATAGATCCGTCGAAAACCGCATGTCGGCATGTCCGCATGACATGTCGGAAATTTGACCCGATTGCAATACTTTCCTTACCTAGTATAGGTAGGAAAGTAATAAGTTAAAAAAAATGTGTAAAAAATTGAATAAGCTGTATCATCGCTAATACTGGTTCGACTCCGATGATTTTTTTTTTTTGTTTTGTTGATAATTTAATTACCTTTCAAAAGTTTTATTACAAATTTTACTGTATAATATATACTTAAGGAGTTAGGCCCCATAACATTTTTCTTTTCTTTATAATTTTTTTTGCTGAATTTTTTCGGGAATTTAGTCTACATACGAAAATTGAAAGGACAATGATTAGAAGATCATAGAAAAGTTTCATCAACATCTTTAGAGCCGTTTTCGCGCTACAGTCTATAGAAAAGCATGCTTTTCATTTATTGCGCGCAAGCTATTGCGCATGGAGCAACGAATTTCGGAAACAGGCATCAGTAGTCAAAACCCTACAAAATAAAAAAAGAAGCAACAAAATCGGTTTAGTAGTTCCCGAGAAAATCTTGGCACAGACAGATAGACAGACAGATCAGTGGCTAAAAATGTTTTTTTCGGATTCAGGAGGCTCTGAAACGTATAGGTCCGTCGAAAACAGCATGTCGGAAATTTGACCCGATTACAATACTTTCCTTACCTAGTATAGGTAGGAAAGTAAAAAAGAGATTGATCTGCGTTTGAAAACATGTGTCAAAAATTTTTGTGATACAAAAGAGCTACAAATTACAAAGACATTATTAAAGAATTGCTTTTATCATATAAGGTCATGGGTTACTTACATACATGTCATTGAAAATTAATTTTTTGCACCCTCATTTAGATTTCTTCCCTTTCAAATTAGGGACAGTTTCAGAAGAACACGCAGAACAGTTTCATCAAGAAATAGCCCAAATGGAGGAGAGTTATAGCGGTAGGAAATGATTTTAGTGACCACTATTGGACACTGCAACGGAAGACAGCTGACGAACTCTATAAAAGGAAAAAATATACATATTGAAAATCCAAGCAAAAAGAAATATATTCGTATATTGTATACTTATATATTGTAATTTGTTTACGTTCAAATAAAGGAGGTTTAGCAAACAAAAGTAGGCAACTCTTCTCCTTCCAAGAAAGAGTTGGTCTTATCCTGTGCGGGGCAAGATAGCTTCTGTTTCTTGCAGCCGAGTGTTCAACTTTAAGCTCGTCAAAAAACATTTCTCGAAAATTGCGTATTTCCTTGGTCATATTTCATGGCATACTAAACAATGTGCAATCAATTTAAATAATAGTAAATATTATCAATAAAAAGAGGATTAAAAACGGCTCATTATGATCGTTAAACAACAGAAGTTCACTAATCCCACTTTAAAATAATTAAATCATAAAAGCGGACATTTTCTATGAAATGACCTAACTTATTTAGTTTTTAGCTTCGACAATTGCAGACTGATGACTTTATTAAGATCCATTCACTATTTTATTGATCAGTAAGCGCCTAATCAGATATTGATTAACCATTCACTAAGGTAAGCACTAATCACTTCCTCTGATGACTAACCAATTTATGTAGTTTTACAGTGCCTGATGAACAAGCAATTTCTACTAATTTACTAATGACGTATCTAGATTTTTATATCCAGAGGGTGTTGCGTCTAGGGGAACACTGAAGGCAAAATGGACAGATGACGTAAAAGAAGACTTGAAGAAAAATAGCATATCCATCAGGTGCGCAGGCAACAGGGATGACTGGGCAAAGGAAATTGAGCAGGTCAAGGATCGCTACATGGTATCTGTTGCGCCAATAATGAACAATGAATGTATCTAGATTTTTTTTTTTTTTTAAGTGTGGTAAATATATTATTATACTTCTATAAAAAGATTAATACAAAAAAATATTTTAATTATTGATTGGCATTAGCCGTACGTGACACTGTGTGACAAACTTTAATTTGATAACAATATATTTAATAAAATGTGATTTTGATATTATATGATATTTATTTCTAATAAAAACAGATGTTTCATTGAACAATCGAATTAGTTGTTGTTAGATCAGAATTTGAGTAGGTTGTTTAGTTTTTTCTTTAATTTATCTAAAATATGCGAAGCCAAATCGTAAGGGCCCAAAGCATTTCCAGCGTTGAGATCTGCACTTACAGCCGAAGTAAAACGAACGATAACCGAACTAGGAAAAGTCCCAAGATGAGTGGGAAGATCGTGAAACAAGTTAAGCAAACAACTTCCGCAAAATTTCTTTTACCTTCGAGGTAATACTATCATTGGTAATATAGAAATATTGGGTTTAAGATTAAGCTGAATAATCTTTTTCGTTTTTTAATGAAATTAACAGAGCATGTCGTAGTACGTTGTGACATTAAATTCCTTTGAACACGAACAAATAATGTATTAAAAAATAAAAGGTTTATTGGTGTAAACATACATTGATTGATTTTTAAAAATAAATACAGTGATTTTATATGATGGATGGATACATTAATTACCAAATAAAATGCCACATTGATAAGATTCTTAGTGATTTAGTTTCAATAGTTTTTGATCAATGCAATTTTTTTTTTCAAAATACTAAAAGTTATAAGGTATTTCGTTAAAAAAAATAATCGAAAAAGGAAAATTAGAAAAACAAACATTTATTTCCTCGAAAAATCTACGAGTATCATTTTCAGGAATATATTAGAAAATTTTCAGCAGAAACTAATTTATTTATTTTCTTTGAAAATTGTGCTTTTTTATACTTAAAATTATAATAGATAAAAAAGGTTGAATGAACTTCGTAATTACTTATGGTATAATTTGGTTGCTGTAAATATAAATTGTTTATTTTGGGGATAATCTTAAATAATTTAAAAAAAAAAAATCCTTAAATATCTAATACTAGTGTGACGATTTGACAATACGTCTGCTTTGTAAAAAAAGTATAAAAAACAGAGGAGTATCTTTTTTGAATAATTTCAGAAAAAATAGTAAGATTTTGTGTGATCTGGGTTTCCGCTGAACTAAAAGACATTTATTCCACAGTAAAAATTATAGATATTTTTAATATTATGCGTGTCATTAGTTTTATTTCATAAAAAAAATAATGTTTAAAACCTAGTAAAGTTAAGAATAACGTGCAGTAATTAATCCCCTTTAAAAATGTTTTTTGAAAAGATTACAAAACATTTTTTTAGCTAAAAAAGTTTATGAACTTCGCAGGAGGTTCTTAGAATTTATTTTTTAACGTGTTCAGGACCGAAATAATTTAAAATGTTTTAATAGAATATTATAATTATAAACATTTATCACTTATGTTATCAGTCTCTCCTATCTTTTTTTATTTATTTTTTTGGCACGGGTGATATTTCTTTATTAAGTAGTTCCCAGTGCTGGGAGCTACTCTTCCCATATTTGAAGCTAACAAAAAGAGTTCAGTATTTTACAGACTAAAAATTTAATTGAAAAGGTGGAGGAGAATAGCTCTTAAGTCCCTGAGGCAACTCAGAAAACTTAAAAAGAAACTTCTTAGTTTTACTAAAGAAATATTCAGGTTAGGCTTCTATACTCTGAGTAATAGTCTTTTACTATCTTACAATTAGTAAGTGAGAGAAGAACAAACCAGAGCTTTTATTCTCTAAACAAATAAGTCTTGAGCAATTACAATGCTGGATTATTTTAGCTGTGTCGTATTGCTTAATTATTAAACTGAAGGAATATTTTCTAGTGTGGCAAGTTCATCCCTTTTTAAGTAAATTGTTACTCATGGTATATACCAATAAACACGTTTCCTTGATGTTACTTACTGTATGTCTAATGTAATAGGGAAAAGAAAACCTATCTAATGTGAGAGTTTTCACCTCACAGTTTTATTATAAATTTATATAGTTCTCACATTCTAGTGTTATAAATAAAGAATACTTTGTTTGTAATTAAAAAACAAATATATATATAGACTAGCTAATCAACATCTTTTGGGCACCACAGTTGTAAGTGTTGGAAAGCTAGAACTGGTGTTAATATGTTTAATTTAATATTTCAAACTTGCCCCTTTTTAACCAGGAGTCCAAGGGGAGTGGAGGAAATAGCTAAATCCTTGAACTTTTTCAGTTTCTGGCCAATAACTTTTAAATGGTGCAACTTAGTAAACACTTCATTCTGATATGAACTAAACAAAATTAAATTCGGTAATAAGTTTTTATTTTTATTTGTTTACTTAGCCTCTACTCCTAATGGTTATTGGCTTAATGTTTCCATTTATTGACTTTATTTCTGTTGATAAAAGTCAATATCTTTTAAATATTTGAACAGTTTTCCTATTTCATTTTCCGCAGGATTTTTTTCATTTCCATTCCAGATTGTAAATTTTTCCATATATCAGTGTACCTTCAACATTCTAATAATATGTACTTTACTGTTTTGGGTACTTGACAATGTGTGCAAGTTGTGACTTCTAATCCTCTCTGGAGGTATCCATGGGAAAACTCAAAGTATCCGATTCTTAGGCGACATAGCATCGCTTCTTCTCGTCTAGACTTTTGGCTTGATGTGTTCTATTTTATACATTTTTTTTTTTATTTCTTGAAGTTTTGCTGAATTCATTTCCCATTCACTGTTTCATTTATTTTGAAAGGAGAAGGCAAGTTGTTATGTCCAATCTTTTCGAGGAATGGTCTCAATTATTGTGGTTTGTGCAGTTCCTTGATGCCGAACAGGATTGGCAGCAGAGTCTCTCATTATCCCGGGCACCATAATGTGATGGTACCCAGATAAGGATTATGTTTTTATTTTCTTTCTTTAGTTCTCCTAATGTGTTAAATATTTCTGTTATAACAGGATGATGGTTGGTTCATTGATCTATGACTTCTATAACGGAAATTGAATCGGTTAGGATAGCATGGTTTTGAAAGAGGTTTATGCGGATGTGCAAGAGTGCTTCTATTATGGTTGTGGCGTCTCCCGTTAAGAAAGTTTGTACAGGAATTCCTCACTGTCTGTGACGACTAAACATCCCACTTGGTTTTCATGTATCTGTATAAATTTTTTTGTAGTTTTAGTATTTGTTTAACAATGCTAAAAAATAAGATTTTTCGGTCTGAAATTAGCGGGTTTTTTTAGATGTTTTTCTGTAGAAATATATGGGGGACTCCACCTTGGAAAGTTTTTATTTATATTTCGAAAATGGAATTCAGTTGCGCTGAAGAATTACAAAATTGATATTTAAAAAAAAAATTGATACTAAAAATCTACTACTGTGCAGCTTAGCTTTAAATCATTGGCGGATCTATGAGAAAGGTGAGAGAGGTACAGAGCTTTTGGGCTGAAGCCTCCTCCTCCAAATGGGAAAATAAAATTGTTTGTTTAATTGATCCGAATTATTAATAATTTGTTTATGAGAATGATATAAGCTAAATACTTAAACATTCAAAATATATTCCCTTTTTAAATTATAATGCATATACATCTACTTTTTTTTTTTTTTGTAACGTCTCTTGACACGTTTGACTTCCGCCAATAGTCTTCTCGCAGCATTGGGGTTGTTCTAGGTGATAATCTGTGATGTTTGGTTCTCTTCTCAACCACTCCCTCTTCATCAGGATGGTTGGCAACCTTTTGCATAACATCTCTCTCCTGTTCTTGTTTTTTACGGGATAGGGTTATTAGTCCTGGGCCCAACCCCCAAATCTAGAAGACCAAAGGAGCTATGTTATTAGACACAGGGGTCACTATCACTTTCCTGTGAATCTCAGGGTGGAGACGTTATGGTCCCTATACGGGAATCGAACCCGCGCCGTAGTGGTCTATCTAAACAATCGAGTAGAAATTGCACTTATTTATTTATTTTTAATTATTTATATTTTTATACATAAATATTTTATTTGTTACTCGTAGCATAAAATTTTTCCAGGAGCCTTAATTCACACGACCACGGGGGCCCCAATATACACCTACTAAATGTAAGCGCACTTCAAGGAAAATTATAATAAATTTATCTATAAAACCATTACTGTTTCTGTAATTAACATGTTTTTTCATTCACTGACCAAATTCACTATCCAGTTTTTTCATTAGCCCTTGAAGAATTGAAAACGACTATTATGAATGAAACTTGTAGAGTATAGAATGTTGCAATTAATGATAACTTATTTTTATAGTTCGATCGAAGTAAAAAAAAAAACTTTAATACTTAAGTTTTTACCATATGTTTAGTAGAAGTGAAAATAGCATCTATTAGTTTTAACACCACAACTGCAATATTTTACATACTTATTACCCATTAGAGAAGAAGGAGAAAAAAAAAGTCCATAAAAATTTATATTAGTTTTCATTGAATATTCTAAAGAAGAAAGAATCACCAGAAAAAAAATTAAGTCTTTAAATATTTATTGAGATCTTTCTAAATAAAATAGTGCAGTTCTAGTGTTCAAACGCATGCGGGTATCTCTTTTTCATATTGTGAAAATATATCAGAATATGTCTGTTTTCTTATTACTAAAATTCATCCAGTTTAACAGCCTTCAAATTTGATTTTAGTTAATAATTTGTTTCCAAATATAACTTATAACAACAATAACAAAGTTTTTTATTAATAATCGCTAATATCTCAGTTATGTAAAAAATTAGAGGAAAAATATAAAGTGGATTGAAGTCTTTATGCTGTATTAAAGAAATATAAACATATATATAAGTTTTTTTTTCATCATTCTTCCAATATAATATATATATATATATATATATATATATATATATATATATATATATATAGTATTGCGAGAATGATATATGATATATAGTATTGCAAGAATGATATATGATATATAGTATTGCAAGAATGATGAAAAAAAAACTTCGCCAAGTAAAGTTAGGATTGCATCCTCATCGTTATCATTGGCTACAAAATATCTATATTACAAGGTCAACCTCGGTACCTACTTTTTCTTTTCTACTTTCGGCATTTGGGGCTAGTCTCTCCAAACATAATAGAAAAGTGTAAGGAGTTTTAACTTTTTCCACAGAGCGATTCATACTATCAAGCAATACTTCTTAAGAAGCACAGTTAAGGATAAGAAATATGCTGAAGATATTCCATGCCTGCCTTTTCGTGAAGGAGAACTAAGAAAAGAAACTACTTCAATTGATTATGTTAAACCACAAAGAAAAACTACCAAGATTAATAAAAAACATAAACTAGCATTAAAAACTGCTGCTGGAAATGTAACACAGTCAAATATGTTCCGTTTAAAGCAGGTATAAAGGTATAGAAAATAAAAAATAAAAACATAAAAAATTAACTTTTTTTCTGTTAATATAAAACTGTATTAATTTAAAAGTATCTATATTTAATATAGAGTAAATAGTACAATATAATATAAAATATAACTTAAAAAGGTGAAAAAAATAAAATTTCAAACTGTTGTTTAGAAAATATAGTTTAGAAATTCAATTTTATTAATGGATAACATTGCCTTGGTTATTAAACCATGTTTGATAATTAAAAAGATTTATATCATTTTAGTGCACTTACTATGTTTTTTAAAATGAGTAAAGAAGTTTAAATATCCTTATATATTACTTCTGTTCTTACATTACTGTCGCTCTAATATATATATATATATATATATATATATATATATATATATATATATATATATTATATGCAATTTTATATGTATAATGCTATTGTATGTATATGTATATATGTATGTTTATATGTATAATGTAAGAACTTTAATTGGTCTCAAGCGTAGGCGTAGACTTTCCATTCTGGTTAGGGATCCCGCACAAAAAGGCTCTGGTTATTATGTATACAAATTATGAGTGATAATTAACTTAATGAACATAGTCAATATAAAATAAACGATATAATACTATATATAATAATAGATTTATATGTTATATATTATGGATTTGAATATACTAAATTTCTTATTTTTATTTAAAAGTTAGATGAACTCTCAATTCCCTGGTACTTCAAATTTGCTACAGGAAATGTTATAAAATCTTCACATAAAAATGGAAGGGTACACAACAATAAATCATAAAATCCTAGAATATATTGATACATATAATTATCTTTGGATATAAATTAAAATTTCATTGATAGAAAACTTTAGCATATGTAGACAGCACTTCCTATTTTATTAATTGATTTTAGTTTACATATTTTATTCATTCATATAGATTAATTGTTAAGGATTTTGATTATTTTTTTTTAAATATAAGAGGAGAGAGGGGAGGGGGAAGGGTGAGAGAGTGAAACGATATTCTTGTCCCTCTTCATTTTTATTGGGGGTGAGGTCGATTGTCCCCCTTGACCCCAACAAATTCTGCACCTATGGTCTCAAAAGTATTGAAATCTTTCAGATAACATAAAACAGATTGTAAAAAGTTTGCCTTTACTTATAGTAATAAGGATTGATTTAAGTTTATTATTTTTTTTTTAGGGTAATGTTCTGTTCTGTATAATCTCAATAAGAATAGAAAAAAAAAAAAAAACTATAAAGAACAATGAGAATAAAAACTGTCTTTTTTCAGAATTTCTATATTTTTAATTATATAATGAAAAAAAAATATTTATAATCATATATTTTAAGTAAAGAAATTATATCTAGGTATTTAAAGTAATATACAAATAATAATTGTTTTAAAAAAAACAATAAAACAGATTAATATAATCAATTCTTCAAGCACTTTTTATTCCTGAAGAACATAAAACCTCAAAGCACTGACTGTTAAAGCATCAAACGACAGTTTCTTTTAATATCTAAATTTTAACAGTTTTTATTAAGGACAAATAAATTTAAGGTTTTTCCAGGAGTCTTATCTCTACCGGTTCAGCAGATTTCATAACTGTAGTACCCTCAGCAATTATTGTTTTAATAACCAACAATATCTCACTAATGAAAATAAAACTTGTTTTTAATCCCATCATTCCGAATGTCTGACCTATGAATAAAAATAATTAAGATTACTATAGCGAACAGGAATTCTGCAAATATTGAAGATTAAACTTACATTAGATATTCAAGTTGTGTTAAGTGTTTATATAAACAAGTAGTGTAACTAAGGTGTCTTTCAATCTCTGAAACAAATCTTTCAGGAATAAAGGCCTCTGGATCAGCCTAGTGCCTTTTGGATCAATGTATGAAGTAAGTCAAAATAACTACCAACTGGCCTGCTGGAATAATTTTGTTTTCACCCAGATAAAATAATACAAATTCGAATATTATCAGACGTTTTAAACTGAAGGTATTATATTGGTATACCTGGTAAGTCTTCTGTTAGTATCCTAAAATGAAAGGGCACACTGGGATATAATCTTAATGTTTCTTTGATGATCATCTGAAGATAAATCATATTCTGAAGATCTCTAGTAATTAGCATTTTTTCATCATTCCCAAATATTTCTATATCTTCATCGTGTGCTTTCTCCTAATACATAAATAAAATATTGGAAAGAAGAACACACCCACACACGCACGCACACAAGCATGCATGCACACACACACAAATGACACAAATAATTATATAATTTTACCAATTGCTCCATAGCTTAAGTCTTATCTAGTATAACAAAACATAGTGTCACTAATTGAAGTATGAATATAAATATGCCTGGACATTTTGATGATTGGCAAGTAGACAGAGTGAAAACATTAGAGCTACCGAAACTGTTTTCTGGTCATGTAACAGCATTGAATTTTTAAAACAATGTTTCGGCTTTGTACATATTTAGTAAATTACAATGACTTCTTTTGTTACTTAAACGTCCATAAACAACTAAATAATATGAAAATTATAATAAAATTTAAGGTATTATTGTAATTTCAAACCATTCTTTAGTTATAAGGAAATTTCACTGAATACATATGTTTATTCTTCCAAAAATTCACTTCTTGGGAAAAAATTAGACAAAAGTTTTAACATTGGTAGCACTAGTAGTAGTTGTTAAATTTTACCAATACTATTAGATTTCTAGAATTTTAAATTCTTTAATTTCCTATTTAAATATTTATATGGACATACTGAAGTTATATTGACCCATCATTGGAACTCACTCAAGTGGGTCTGGATATGTCCCACTATATGTCCCAAACTGAAAATATGAGAAAGCTTGTTTCATTGCAATTTCTTTTTAGAAGATTACGTTTGATTATATTTTTATTCCTATGTATAAAAATATTTTTTATTTATTATTATTAATATATCCGTCAAATAAAAGTGAGTTATAGAAGCTTTGTAGTCATGGTGTTCAAATTCGGCCTATGACAATCTCTAGTGTTCCTCTAAGTTTCCTCTTAGTTACTCTTAGGCTCTATCAAGAAATCTCTGCCTACTATTATTATCAGATGTGGACTTATTGTATGTAGTGTATATGATTTGGTATTAAATATATATTATATGTTCTGTCTTTATACTAGATTCTCGAGTGACCGGACTGTCCTCTATCCTGAAATCACTTCTTTTAGATAACATAAATGGTCTCAAGACTGACATCTCTACTTTTGCTCTTAATTGCAAGGTCTGGAGGCAGATCCATATCCTTATAAACTTAAACCCACAATGTCTGAGGGTTTGTAGGGAACCTTACCATGGGCAATATCTGGACGTTGAAACACTTCCTATCTGAACTGTAGAAGGATTCAGAGGTAGTTCCAACGGTCTCTCAACATAAATATTAGTATATAATGGAAAAATGAATGACACAACTAATTATTGACCAGTATATTATTAATAACAATAACAACGACAATAGTATTAGGATATGGCAAAACACTTATATTTGTGAAGAAACCAACCTTAAAGTGTTTCCCACAATCATTTTAAACATCTCGGCAAAATATATGAAGTATATCAACCACACCACAAAAATTATATTTTATAAAACTTTATTAAGACTGGTTGTGACCTACACATGTTAAACATGGTAGGCGGAGCAGCAAAAATGCAGCAGACACAAGAAAAATGGACATTTTTTGGTCAAAATTATTAAGACCTGTCCTTGGTGCAATAAAAGAGAATGGAGAGTGGAACCAACAAAAAAATCGATGGAGGTCTGAGGATCTCAGATATCATAAATAAACGTTTAATGGTTGTGTTGTTTGTTCAACCTATTTTAAATGTATAGTTTGTTTGGGACTTTAAAAGGTTTAAATAATAGACACGTTTATTTTATTTGTCCTCTCCACTATTTGTATTAACTTTATTTCAGTTCACTTACATTGGACATTTCTTCTCTTCAGCCATCTTCAGCGATCTCTGCTTATTTGTTTATTAATGTAAATTGTATTCATAATCACAAAGAATTTTTGGTTTTTATCATTTATATTTGTCAAGAGACACTTATTTTGTGATTAATAATAATCCTATTAAAACATAAAGCAAAAACTGTAATGACAATTTACATTGATTACATCAACCATATTTTTAAACTATAGGTATAAAATAAGGTTGAAAAATAATTTAATCTTTATTTATAATTACTTATTTCCAGTATTATGGACATAAATTAATGACTCTTTTTGATAGCAATTAAATGAGATATTTTTTTTAATGTGACTTTTTGTTCCATATTTTATTTGAGATATGTAATGTTTTTTTTTTTTTTTTCCAAAATTCAAGATTCCCAGAGGTTTCTTGAGAGGATAGTTATGGAACTTTTACATCTCTAATTTAACACATGTGATGTATATTGGATTGAATACAGTTGGATGACACCTGTACCCCAAGCAACTTCACTAGGGTCAAATAGTTTAACATTTTTAAATTTAAAATCATTGATATCTAATGCATCTTAAAAGAAAGAATATCTGGTATGTTTATAATTATCATTTCTTGCTTAAATAGCAATTAGCAACTACTTGAAGGAAATATTGCATAGTAAAAATGGCAGATTTTTGATTACCAACCTACCTTTATCATGTTTTATTTCAAGCCAAAATTCTACATCATTTTGAAAGGTTGGTTACCATATTTTTCTTCATTCAATAGTCATAACACCTATAAAACAGTAATCCAAAATTTATTATTTACAAATTCAATAGACAATACAAATACGAATAGACAGTTTTTATTTCACTAAGAAAGAGAAAACTATATGTAGGCTATAAGCCAAATCTACCTATTTCTATCAACGATAAAATGCAATATTGAATAAATAAAAATAGAAAACAAAAAGTCACATTAAAAAAAATATCTCATTTAATTGCTATCAAAAAGGGCCATTAATTTATTACCATAATACGGGGAATAAGTAATTATAAAAAAAGATTTTTCAAGGTTTTAATTGAGTTTATATTTATTTATATCAGTTATATTCCTTGTTGTGAACATGGTTTCTAAAATTGTCACAAAGTGTGAATGTAAAGTAAGACTTAATAAAATGG